CTGTGTTTTGTTATCCTGTATCCTGACATGTTCTCGTCTGCCTACTAGGGCTAGCTAGAGGGCCTTACGTCGAGACTGGCCGTGCGCGTTCGGTGATTGGATTAGCGCCTCTTCTGTTTCCTGAGAATTGTATCCTGACTTGTTCAATAAAGATTAAAAAAAATCCCGAATTGTTCAAAAAAAAATAATAAAAAAAAAAAAAAGATTGGATTCGCTCTGCTAGAGCTGTCACTCGCATTTTAACTCAAAATGGCCGAAGGAGAAGACGTTGATCTGGCTGCAGAACTACTTTCCACACAATTTGCAAGACGAGCCTTCCACGAAAAGCTGGATATTGTACAACAGAGCCACTGAAGTGTTCCTGAGAAAAGAAAGGAGGATCGACTTTATTTTCAAATAAGCAGACTCTGTGGAGAACTACATTGGTGAGTCAATGAATTTTATTTTACATTTCTTCTTGTCATTTTATTTCGTTCGTATTACATTAATGGTAACGAAATAAAATGACAAAGATACAAAAATGTATCAAATAAATCTGCTCACCTGCAATTTATAATGGTGCATCCTGAGATAAGAAAGGAGGATCGACTTTATTTTCAAATAAGCAGACGCTGTGAGAACTACATTGGTGAGTCAATGAATTTTATTTTACATTTCTTCTTGTCATTTTATTTCGTTAGTATTAAATTCATGGTAACAAAATAAAATGACAAAGATACAAACATGTATCAAATAAATCTGCTCACCTGCAATTTATAATGGCGCATTGTAGTCACCTTCGTGCACGAAAGTTCGTTCAATCTCAGCTGTTAGTCAGTTATTAGTTAGTCAGTTATGTCAGTTATTTGCTGTTGTATCATCGATTTTCAAAATGCAAATGATCTGTTTACTTTATTTTCAAAGAACAGTTTGTTTTGTTATTGTTTGGTTGGTGTCTTATATGAAACTGCGACATTGCGCAATTTATTGGACAGACTTGTTTAAGATCACACAGCGTAATTTGGGTGGCATTTTATTTCGTATTTTTAAATCATCTTTTTAGTTTTGACTATCTGTAAATGTAGTTTCCTGCTCTTAATTGTGAATGCATACTTGATGGTTTTAAATGCTCCTGAAATTAAGTGCTGCTTGACGAGCCTATACAGTATTGTGTTCATAATATGTGACGTCACTGAAGGCCTAAGGTTGAAATGCATGGCCCGCCACTGGAATGTCTAAACCACTGGCAACAAAAGTGAATACACCCATAAGTGAAAATGTCCAAACTGGTCACAGCTATGTATTTTCCCTCCCCAGTGGCATGTACCTCATTAGTCTTAAAGGTCTCAGGTGTGAATGGGGATGAGTTGTGTTTCAGTGTTTTTACCCAAAGCTAAAGAAGATTGCACAATAATAATGGTCTACAGAAAAAAAAAACCCTTCAAAACATAGTGTTAATATTTTTACTGGATATAGCTCAGACAGTGATTAACAAAACATACCGGTACATATTTACAACCACACACAGCTTGTATGACTTGTGAGCATGATCAACTTTTTGTCAAAGTAAAAATGCTGCATCAGAGTTTATCCAATAGGCAGACTCAAACGAGAGTATAAACTATGAGTTTCTTTAAAATATATTAGTTCATGTTCTTATTGCATTAGTCCTGTTTATACATCACAGTATTTTCCTAACAGTGATAAATGTTGAATGGCCTATGCTAGTTGGTTATAGCTCAACATGAAAATCAGGATAGCAGCCTCAGCAAAGTATTTCTAAAAAGTTAATATCCATCCATCCATTCATTGAAATGCTCATTCATCCATTTTCAACAGTGCATGTCCGATCAGCCAGCTCATATCCCAGCTAATGGTGAGTGAGCCTACTCTGTACTGGTCTACACACGACTCACCGCCGGCGAATTGCAGAGCACATTCATAATACACAAGCGACCATTCACACCAATGGGTCATTTAGAAACTGCAATGAAGGTAATGTTTTTTTTATTTTTATTTTTTATGAAATATAGGAAGCAATGGAAGTACACGGAGACATTCAAGCAAACAGAGGGAGACCATACATACTCAACACAGGTTAGCCTCAGCTAAGATTCTAACCAGGAGCCTGTTGATTGTGACGCAGCCAGCGACTAACTACCGGTACTGCGCCGTGCTGCACAGACAGGCATTTTTGATGTTAAACAGCTTTACTTGATCCTGTTCGGAATAAACAAATCTTTGTTTGTTTTTAACATTCAACACATAAGCATGCTTATTTGAGAACATTGTCATTTCAAGAATAAATTACAAACACCTTTACCCTGTAAAAGACCGATCTCAAGATTACCCTAGCATGAATGCATTACAGTTTAGGTTAAACTCAACCGAGCCAGCAAACTAACAACAACATGACATAAAATATCACTTGTCACTTTGGACTGTCTTCTTGAAGTTCCTACCAACTGGGAGATTTTCATGATGAGAAGGTGTGATGTCAAGAGATGCTCAACTTGCTTCTTGTCCTCTTAATGTTCATACACCAGCAGCACAGAGGAATCAGACAAATAATCATTCATTTGTTTATACTGTACTGTTGACAATTCAAATTTCTGCTTCGAATTATCTTCTCATCAAAAAGGTTAGATTTGATGTTGCCTCTTTGTTTCTCTTTTTTAGATGTTGGGCTCATGCATCTGCCGCAGGCACATTTCTGTCTGGCTGAATTTTCCTGTTGGGGGTGTGGGGGGGGTTGGAAAAAAATAGATCACAGATTATTCTTTTATTGCAGCTAAATATTCTTCACTACAACAAAAAGGTCACTCCGAAAGAATACCTGAAAGCTTAGGGAGGTTGTCATGGGTTAAATGTGAAATAAAATAACTGAGAACATCAAAGTAACAGACACATTGAGAGCTAAAAGCAAAACCAATACATTGAATTTATTTTTTCATTTTTTAAAATTTGTTATTTTCCTAATAGAATATATCCCGGTAGAGTTACTGTGAGTGAGTGTGACTGCACATACTCATGTTTAGTAAGAGAGGCTTTATCACAGGTGACCTCTGTGAGTGTGCCGCCTTCCTTGGAGGGAAGTGTCTGAACTTCCATTTGTCGTCTGTCGCTTCTTGGAGTGGACACGCCATTCATCTTGACTTCCCTAGAGCAGCATGCATAAAATAAATGGGATTAGAATCATGCTAACCTCCTTGTAAATCCAATTCACACGGAGCCCCTGAGGGGACATGGAAGAAAAAAAACCTTTGCGTTTAGGATCCCTCCTAGTTTAGGGTTCCCTCGCAAAGATTGCGAGATAACGCAAACTTTTTTTTTTGTAAATGGACATGTTTTTTCAAATGCGCGTTTTTGTACTTCCGGGTCAGCTTGGCTAATGTGGGCTCTCTTGTGCGGCTGATTGAGAGACGACACTACTTCGGGGAAGGAGAGAATCATGGAAGAGGACTTGGAAATTATATTTAAGATCAAGAACAGTTTTAATTTCTTTGCAAAAAAAAAAAATGTTTGCGTTCCCTCGCAATCTTTGCGAGGGAATGCAAAGTTTTTTTTTCTTCCATATCCCTTTAGGGGCTCCATAAATTCAAGATTAGTACCCCCCCCGCCCCAAAAAAAAAAAGATGAATACAAACTTACACACCTACTGTACTTACCCATTAGGACCCCCCTCTCCTTCTTCAAACCCTTTGAGGCCTGGAACTTTCTGTCCAAAAAGTTTCACAGCGATGGACATAAGCAGGCCACAGCGGTTTCTGTAGCAGCAAGTGGCATCCACCAGCAAGAAAATCACCAAGAAGATCACCATGACGATGCCCGCCACGCTGCCTTTGGTCATGCTGCTTCGCACTGTGAGAACAAAGAGGATGAAGAAGGGAGTGAAGTAGAAAGAGGACGCTCATTAAGAATGGAGATGTGATGTTTGAGATGATGAGAGGATTACCAGGTTTCTCTGCAATGGTGAAGTTGAATGTTACAGGGAGCGAGGAACCGTTAGCATTGATTGCTGTGACTTCCAGTTGATAGTCAGCGCCAAAGTTCAGGTCTATGAGGGTAATGGAGTCAGTGTTGGACGATAGCTGCTTCTTTTTCCATTCAGCCCGATCTTTATCCTGGACAAAATAGAGACAGAAAGTGTTGTAGCACCAAGTATGGGGCATAAAATGGGTAAAGAAAATATGCATTGATAAATATTTCAACGACGGAGAGTGTTTTGACTTCCACTTTTTATGTAACAGTCCTTTGCCAACTACCTCACATGAACATGGATGCTACCACACGGCAAAGGCGTGCAGGTGCATGTTGAGCCTGACCTCACGATATCGGAGATTGTAGTGCAGGAGAGGAGTGCCGCCATGATCAGTTTGCTTGAGGGGGATGAAGAAGGAGTTGCCCCCTACTTTCATCTCATCACATGACAAAACTGGGCTGTCTGGTTCACCTGGGTGGCAATAGAGAAAGCAAATGCAGAACTTTATGCCTCCTTGTTATTGTGTGGACTCATATACATGTAACGGCCAGTGTGTGTGTCTTACCTCCTGTCGATGGAGGATAGGAGATTGGATGGTGTCATTATGATAATGATGATGGAAACATGATACAAGACAGAAAAACAGATGAATCACAAAGTGTGTAACAACAGATTGCGATAAATAATATTTTTATGATCGCACACATGCTTTAATGCACATGAATAGGAATATTTTGACCATAACATTAACATATGTATTTATAAATACGTTATGAGAGGACGCCGGAATTGCAAAGGCCTAAAACACAGGCGTAGGTCCGTGATCATACCCTTGCAGGTTCAAGACCCCACACCAAAATACGAACATTGCTGTGATGTTCTTGGACGTCGGTCTCAGTGTCCTCAGTGGCACATCAGTGTTGTGCTGCGCCTTGGTCCTTATCTTTCCCTTGCATGCATGCTGTACAGTGTTTGTGCATTTCGAGTGTATTCTTATTCCTGAATACAAATTACCGTATTGGCCCGAATATAAGACGGTGTTTTTTTGCATTGAAATAAGACTGAAAAAGTGGGGGTCGTCTTATATTCGAGGTCTAGACGTTATACCCATTCACGACGCTAGATGGCGCCAGATATCATTGAAGCGAGTGCTGAACTTGACTCCCCAGGCCAAAGTGAACCCCTGTCATGAAGAATAAAAATAAAAATAGCGGTAGCACGAAGAAGAAAAATTAAAAATAGCGGTAAGAAAGAAAAGAGAAGAAAATAATAAAAGAGATAACAGAAAATGGAGAAATGTAGTGACAATCTGGAGAAAAGTGGGTCGAAGATCGGCCAGGTTAACCGGCAGATGAGGACAAGTTATGATGTAATTTACATTTCAAAAATCAGAAGCCATTCATTTACGAATGTGATTGCACTTTAGTTTATATATTTAAATGTTCAGATATTAAGATTTGAATGCTTTTTCTCTTAAATATATTGTTATAATCATTTGTTTCAGATGTACTGAAATTATTTTCTGTATAAAAATTAACTTCAAAAAGTATTTTTTCAAACTTGAGTCTTGAAAAAGAGGGGGTTGTCTTATAATCAGGGCCGTCTTATATTCGCGCCAATACAGTACGACTGTATGTGAATTCACATGCATGGATTTTGATGACGGGCAACCCGGTGGTCCAGTGGTTAGCGCGTCGACCTCACAGTGCAGAGATACCGGGTTCAATTCAAGTTCCGGCCTCCCTGTGTGGAGTTTGCATGTTCTTCCCGGGCCTGCGTGGGTTTTCTCCGGGTACTCAAGTTTCCTCCCACGTTCCAAAAATATGCATGGCAGGCTGATTGAACACTCTAAATTGTCCCTAGGTGTGAGTGTGAGCGTGAGCGTGAGCGTGGATGATTGTTCGTCTCTGTGTGCCCTGCGATTGGCTGGCAACCGGTTCAGGGTGTCCCCCACCTACTGCTGGAAGATAGCTGGGATAGGCTGCAGCACCCCCCGAGACCTTTGTGAGGATAAGCGGATCGGAAAATGGATGGATGGATGGATTTTGATGACTACTGTACAATGTATTTCACAGGTCAGGTGCAAACTGTAATTGCTTGAAATCTTAGATATTTACCTTAAAAATATGTAACAAAACAACAACACCCCCAATTCTAAAAATGATCATCAACACACTATTTTGTTCATTTCAGGCATTGCGTAGTAAGTGGTATGGAATTTGGATTTATTGTGCCTCTGCCTTCATATGGTGTTAATGTGTGATACTCACGTATTCCTAGGGTTCGGACAGAGTTTGCATCTGAGAATTGGCCGCGTCCTGCTGCATTCAAGGCAGCCAAACGCACAGTGTATAATGTGTAGGGCATGAGGGAGGTCACTGCCAGGGTATCTACGAGCACAAACATAAAAGTGCACGTCAAGGATTACAGCTGATTTCAACCTTGTACACGGACAAATTACCTGAGGCTGGTACGGTGACTTCTTGCCATTTCTCGGCTGCATTTTGTCTCCATTGCAGGATGAAGTTTGTAATTGGTGTTCCCCCATTGATGGGTGGTGTTTTGAGGGAGAAAAAGACTGAGGCAGGTCCAGGTGAGACTGACAGGTAGGGAGGTGGACCAGGCTGGGCTGTGGGTCAAGAGAACACCGTGGTAAAATGAGGTACTTACAATGATAGTTGTAACCTATGTGTTCAAAATTAGGGCCTGATCGAGTACACTATATAGATATTCATGTCCAGTTTTAATGTCATAGACATATTTAGATAAATTGATGTATGTTTCTTCTTTTGGATGACATGAGACCACTGCTCTAGGACTGTGTATAGTGAGATGTGTTTTTAATGTTTTTTTCTTTTCTTTTTTTTTTCTTTTCTTTTTTTTTTGGTTATATGTAGCTGCCTAACGTATTACAGGTATTTAACACTGCAAAATACAAGCACAATGATGCGATTGTTGAAATAATTCAAAATTGAGCTTTTTTTTTTTTTAAACAAATGTATGGCTTATTTTGTTGTTTAGGTGACTCAGTGAGGTGTCCGGTGAGTGCAGAATTACACCGCAGAGCCAAAGTTAATGACTTACTGTGAATTGCAACGTCTCTTGATGCATTGCCGATGCTTCCAACAGCCATGCAGGAATAGAGGCCACCATCAGATGGCACGACTGAATCAATCATCAAAATGCCGCCCTCGACACGGATACGACCAGAAGGTGAGTCCTAGCGAGGCCAAACACAAAAGATGTACAGTACTGTGAAAAACAGGCTGGGCTAAACATAGATTGATGAAACCAAATGTAGTGGTGGTCTTTAGTTTTGTGTTTTTTTTATTTTTATATCGATTTATGTCCCATAAATGTCTCAGTGGGGAGCTAAGGGTGACACAACACATTAGTAAAGGACAGCCATGCATGCGTCAATCATTCTTGAACATTCCATCCACAATGAGGGTTACATGAACTAAAATTCACACCCAATGGTTCCATTCATTCAAATCATTTCTAAAAAGCACGACAACACAAAATTCTCTTAATTCTTCACAATACTAAATGTTTTTTTTTTCGAGCCTGTATTATGACTGTGTGGTACAGTATACAGTATGTGTGCATTTTATTTCATGAAACCATGACCATGGATGGGTAAGATAAACAATTACTTCTCTGCCATGTCGGTTTACTTGCTGTGATGTGAAAGCATGGTTTTGATACTACAGTAACTGTAAGAATTGAATACTCTTTACTTGACACAGATCATTTACAGAATTACTTTCTAAATATGTAATTAATATAAAAAATGAAGTAACAAACGGGTCGAGGAATACTGCATCCGTGTAAAATTAGCAGATATTAAAATTTCCCCCTCGGCATGGGGGTGGCCACAGACTGACAAGGGGTGTCTTTTGCCACCCCTGGCCATCCTGTAGCTCTGCCCCTGCGTACCACTCTTACCAGGGTTTGTCCATTGCGCTTATTGAGCCAGTGCAGGTCTGGCTGAGGAAGTCCAGAGACATTACAGGCCACTGCCACGCTCTCGCCCACACTAACATTCTGCTGCTCTACAGACAAAGACACCTCTGGGGTCTCTGAAATGAAACAACTCCATTATCACCTCAACAGCCACGTTTGAATGCAAATGTTATTTTGATACTGTACTTTGCATTCCATAGGGAGTCAGAAAAGAAGAAAACCAACCAAAGACGTGAAGCATAACGGTAGCACTGCTTTCGCCAATCTTGTTGGTTGCGGTGCAGATGTATTCCCCGTAGTCGTCCCTGACAACGGACCTAATGATCAACTGGCTGCGGTCAGAGTTGAACTTGTGATGCCTGGGGTCGTATAATGCTGGCCTGTGAGACAGAAGTTTAAAGTGATTGAAGTAAGTCACCATTATAATGCAATGCACCTATCGTAGTCCCACTATCTCGTGAATTTTCATTTCCATTTTTTTGTGTTGAAATACATATACGAGTGTATGGGAGGGGTAATTTAAGACTTAATCTCCAAAGCAAATCTTTGTGCTTTTTATATTTCATGTGTATTTTCTATTCGTTTTATGCTTGCACATTATTTTGTTCCAACATATTTACCGTGTGTTGGAAAAGTGATTGTTTTTAAAGAGTCCCAATCCCAGAGAAAATGAGGTGGGTTGTGTCAGGAAAGGCATCCGGTGTAAAAACTGTGCCAAAAGTCTCATGCGAGTGACTTGCTGTGGCGACCCCTGACATAGAAAAGCCAAAAGTCACTTTTCCTTCTTCCATATGGTCTGTCTGTATCGCAAGATTTTCATTGCAAGGGGCTTTGCAACATACTCATGCCTGGGATGGATGGGGGATCTGAAAATAAAGCGCAATGTACTACTCCACAAGTAACGTTTGCTATTGGCTTAAATTAGGCTGATACTTGTTAAAACATTATGGCAGATTGTAAAGAAGAAACCGAGCTTTAATGCTGTGTGGGATGATGGTCAGGATAATATTAGTATCATATCCACGAAAAACAATGATTATCCACTGATACAGATCCAAACATCAGAATCCAAACATCAGAAACACTCACCAAGAGCGCACTCGACATATTCACTAACCAAAAACATACAGTATTTCGGTACAGATGCCTTTACTAATAAAATAATTCACTGTTTTGACACATTCCACGAGCTATCAAGTTGACATTATTAGTACTTGTGGTTTGCTGCAATGTTGACCTGCACTAAAACCTTTGGTTACTTTATGAAGGTGAAATAAACGTATTGTGCAGAGTAATTTGACATGACCGTAACCTATCACCATAATGCAAATAATCCTGATGATATTAAAACTAAACACATACTGCATCACTGACTGTTAATCAAAGGTGAGAATGAATTTTAAGGCAAATGTGAGCAAAATCTGTTAGATTTAATTACTCTCCCCCTGTCCCTAAATCGCTTTATGTGTCTCGCAAAAGAATGAATGCATCTTAATTGGTAAACTCAGGTCTTACATGCTCCAGGTGATATTGGGTTTCGGTTGGCCGTCGACCAAACAGAGCAAGGAAACGTTGGTTTCTGGTCCAGCGATGACTTTCTTCACCTCTTCTTTCAGATGTACAGTGGGAGGAGCTATATTCAGAACACTCTTGTTATTGTCAATGTTTCAGAACACAGACTGGACTTGATGTAAATTCAACTATCCCAATGATTGTCTGCTTTCCGGAAATTCGTACATTCAGCATGGCATGCTTGATTTCATACTGTAAATGATGATGCAAAGAAGACACACCATTGACTACAACAGATATGGGAAGCTGTTGAAAGACGGGCCTCCCTCTGATTTGGGCCTGGCACACGTACATCCCAGCATCCTGTCGCTTCACTTTCTCAATGAGGAGCGTGTTATCAGGCAGCTGCTGCACATTTTTTCCTAATAAAGACAAAGACAAAAAGATCAGAAAATCACATCCCAAAATCCATTTCAAATCCAAAATCAGATTTGCCAAATGATCATATGGAGATGAGCTCCCGGAGCATACACTTACCACGAGACGGCATCTCCTTGCTGTACGTCCAACGGACTTCCACCGCCGGCTGGCCAGACACCCGACAAGGCACCGCTCCATCTGTGCCCTCCAAAAACTCATGGTAGGTGGGGGTGTTTTCAAATGATGGACCCTCTGACAACAAATCCAAGATGCTTGTTTTGTGTGTGGTAAATTCTTAGACCAGACAAGTATGATCTTAGCAGCGCTTCAAAAGATCCACTGGCCACAGCAGCATCTGCACAACCCAATGACTTGCCCAATTTTTAATAGTCATTTTGATTGACGCCGTCAGAGAGGTATTTGTTAACTCTGCCAAGGATGTTATGCGAACTATTACGCCACAACGGCATTGTAATGTTGTTTAAAAAAATTGGGCAGTTAATGGAATTATGAGAGGGGCAAAACATGTCACACTGCTCTCAGTAAGATCCAATCCAGTTATACAACAACGCAAATTAAAATACATTCTAATAAAGGTATTGTGCATACAAATACTTCTCTGACTTGATCATTTAAAACTGACAGAATCACTGATAGGCCTACCAGCTGATTCAGTTTTGCAGGTGTTGTGGCCAGTTCGTCTGCCAAAAGTGTATGATGCTCTTACATACCGTAAACATAAATCTGTGTCTGAACATCATCCATGTGGCCGTTGTCAAATTCACACAGGCAGGTGTACCTTCCTGCATCCTCCACAGAGGCACTCTTGATGACCAGTTTCGAAGAGGACTCATCCACTGTTGATATCAACTCTTCATCGATGTCCTCGCCATTCCTTTGCCATGTTATATGTCCTTCTCCCCCAGCTAAGACAGGATAGCATATGCATCAAATGGAATTTAAAACCGATATGTGCCACAGGTGCGATGTACCCAGACACAAAAGAGCATATATAAAGACATAAAAGATAAGATAAGATAAGATAAGAAAACTTTTATTTGTCCCACACTGGGGAAATTTGCAATCGACAGCAGCAGAATTGAAAGGGGGGGGGGGGGCGTAGAAAAGAAAAACAAAGTATTGCATGCAAAAAATAAATGTTTCAAAAAAAGAACTGTACACAGTACAGAATGCAATGTACAATATAAGTCAGCCATATTTAAATTACAGATGGAAAACTGACCTTTACAGAAAAGTAAAAGCTCCTCTCCAACTTTAATATCTTGCTTGCTGGTGATGATGTCCATTTTGGCATCTGACAAAGAGAGGAAAGAAACATGTGCCATCAAATGCTTGTCACTATTTAGTGCACATTAGACAACCTCTCCATGTTTATCACCTAAAATTACTGTTCTAGTAGTATCCCGAAACTTTAGATAAAAGATAAAAACAACACACCAGTGAATGTCTCAGAGAATCTAACGCACTTGAGGTGACGTTTTGTGTTTGCAGTTAATTACTCCAAACAATATCAAATAGCAGACCTTACCCGTGCTATGCACAACCAGAAGCAACAAAAACAAGGCGATTTTCATGTCGAAAATTTTCACTTTGGCCACGGTCACACTGAAAAATTCCTGTCAGGTTAGCTGGTGAAGGTGGATTTTCGAGCCTCAAATATGACACCTACTTTCAGGGTTCTTGCTATGGGGAGGGTCTGTATCTTGGGTTATATAGGGACGCAGAAGGGGAAAGGAAGCAAAAAGTGGGCGGAGAGGAAGCACATGTGTCTCATCTCTTCTTGTCATTCATGATCACAAATGGCTGTGAAAGAAATGCTTCGTCCATTTCACAACAAAGTCTTGTTATTATTCATATTTTGTCAAAGTAATAAATACATGCAAGTCTCTGCTCTGGCATCACTCACACCACAGTACAATTATTTTGGTCAGATCGTAGCCTACATGAAATTATTTGATGGTGATAAGTTTTATGATAAGTTCATATTTTCCATTCTGTTCTCATAATGTTATGATTGATTACATCTTGGGTGGCACGGTGATCCAGTGGTTAGCGCGTCAACATCACAGTGCAGAGGGGCAAGGTTCGATCCCGGCTCCGGCCTTCCTGTGTGGAATTTGCATGTTCTCCCTGTGCCTGCATGGGTTTTCTCTGGGTACTCTGGTTTCCTCCCACATTACAAAAAAATGCATTGAACACTCTAAATTGTCCCTAGGCGGATGGTTGTTTGTCTCTGTGTGCCCTGCGATTGGCTGGCAACCGGTTCAGGGTGTCCCCAGCCTACTGCCCAAGGATAGCTGGAATAGGCTCCAGCACGCCCGCGACCCTTGTGAGGATAAGCGGATTAGAAAATGGATGGATGGATTACATCTCTACAAATCTGCCCAGCCATTACCACATCATCAGGGCTCTTGCTGTTTAGCCTTGGACAAATGTTACGTTTCAGATTCTGTCTCTCTGTCTATGATGTGCTTTATCCTGAAATATTTCAGCCTCATTTGGACTGTGTGTATGAGGAGTACCATTCCTTATGTGAATAAATGATGCTTGTTGGGTGCTGGATTTAAAAAAAAAAAAAAAAAAAAAGGGCTTGCTAAAAAAAAAAAAGTATTTCTGTAACACCCAAATATTACACTATGTACTAGGCTTTCGTCCCTGTTCTTTCATCTTACTAAGTACCTGTTCCTGTGGGTCCTATCGCTTTCATTTGCTGCACGCCAGGCTGCCCCGCCCGCCTCACATTGATTGCCTGTCCGTATCTCCACACTCGAGACCAAGCAGCTAATCAAAACATAAATAGTCCATTGGGGGTACCTATCACGTTGACTATCAGGAGGTGCTATTATGGCTCATTAAATTGGAGTGTGCTCAAAATGAGGGCCATTAACATGGGTGGGCATTCACGAACCACCTCTCTTTAGTTGCGACATTCATACTGTAACTTCCACTGTAAATTTTTGTGCAACAGTGGGGCACAGGTAAAGAACTAATCATCGTTGGACAGCTGAAATACCAAAGAGCAAATTAAACTGAAGCACTTCTCAGATATCCTGCAAATCCCCCCACCCCCAACCCCCGGGGGCTATGAACAGTAAAAAGTTTGACTTTTGAGCAATCTGACGAGACACTTAGCAAGTGATTTGAGGCAAAGATGCTTTTGGCAACATTTCTACCAAGCATGCAGTATTCCATTTGTGTTATGCTTCATGTAGGCAGTGACGAGGAGGATTATACCGGAATAAAGGCAGTTGGTAAAACAGTGTTTCCTGAGACTTGAGGAAAAATTAACAAAGACATATATATTTTTTTAACTTGGGCCTTTTTAATGGGGAGCATGGTTAGTTAACTCCTTCAGAGAGCAGTTTGGGGCCAGTGTAAAACTCGTTCAGAGCTTTAACAGGAGTTAGAGTGCATGCAAATTGTAGACAACAAAACCGGTACAAAATGAAACACAGCAGTTCAGAAAAAGTCAAATATGATTGTACTAGTGCAGTGGTTCTTAACCTGGGTTCAATCGAACCCCAGGGGTTCGGTGAATCAGTCTCAGGGGTTCGATGGAGCCTCTTCCATGGAGGGTAAGACACACCCAACTCAACACACCCACTTGGCCATCACTGGCTGCAAATAATCACATGACATTGCTTGTCCAATCAGTGCTGTGGGAAATTTAGTTCTTATTACCAGTATTTTAATTCATTAACTTTTTTCTGTTTTTAATAAATGTGTTTTTTAATATCTTGAATTTGTGAATATATATATATTAGAGCTGTCAAATGATTAAAATATTTAATCGAATTAAAAACGCAACTGTCATAATTAACTCAAATGAACTAAAAATTAATCGTGATTACTCATGCATTTTTTATCGTTTCTGAATTTCCTTTTGTATTTTTTGTCCTATTTTTCCCCATTTTAATGCTCTCATCAACATGGAATCATGAATCAGTTTTCTATGTGCAAAATGCAAATATTTACTGAAATAATTTCGATTTTCAATTTTACATGAACATTTTTCACTTGGAGCAGTTATTCACACATAATCTCTCACACAATAATACTGTCCATCAACAATGGTGAAAAAAATATTTTGTCACACAACAGCTGCTTTAATGGCTCTTTTTATGGAATCAAAACAGAGCAATATAAAATTATAAAGTGCACATCTAAGGTAAACTAGTACTCAGCCTATAGTGGATTTAAGCCATGGTTGCATACTTCGTTTTTCTCAAGTTTGCTTTGAACACAGCAGTCAGGCTACGTTGATTCTGTTGGTCCTTCTTGCGCAGAAGTCTCTCTATGGTTTTGTGTCGACATCATTTCGGATGACTACACTTGGTT